CCTTCCTTAGGACCCGCCTTCCTGCCATGAACAGCTCCCTACCATCTGAGAAAATAGGGTAGGAAATCTTAAAGAGCATTGAGAAATGGTAGGAAGAGAACAGAGGCCAGACCGCAGCTGGGGATCTGTCAGAGCTGGACAGGACACTGGCATGCCAGGAAACTGAAAGGCCAGAGGACTGGGAAGTCTAGAAACCACTGACTAGCAAGAGCAGTTCTCCCAGAGTGACACAACAGCCTGCCCAGGGGCACTGGGAACAGGCACAGCCTTTCTCCCTTTCGTTATTTTCTAAAAAACCCAACCAACCAACCAACAGACAAAAACACAAACAATTTACAAGGCCAAATAGATTATCTAGAGATACCATACCACTTTGCATAAAGGAGTTAACATGCTCATAATTTAGTGTCTGTGAGTGCTGGGGGGTTGGAACCAATGTCCCATGGAGTGATGACTTCATAAAAGATGTAGAGAATCAAAATGACATGAAATGGTGTCGTCTGGGGACCCAATGGGGTCACCACAGAAAGCTTCTCCACAAAACTGACCTTCCAGCTGAATTCCAAGTAGGAAAGGAGCTCTCACATAAGGCAATTAGAAGAATGAACACTGGAACAGAAGACAGATCCCTGGGCCCACACACTCTGGGCATCGTCAAGCAACCACATGCAAGCAGCACAATGGGGCACAGACAGCTAGCTAAGGGTACAGGATGGCTCTAGTAAGGCCCTGGGGGCGGGGCAAGACTTGGGGATCAGGAGAGTATGAAGTGTCAGTGTAATAGAGAGCGACTGGAAGATCCAAGTGACATAGATCTAGTTTTCTTTGTTTCTTTGTTTACTATGTGGGTCCGACTAGACTCAAACTTATGTTCCTCCTGCCTTGGCCTGAGTGCTGGGATTACAGGCCTGTGCCATCACAACTTGACCTCATCTGCATTCTAACAGTATCCTGGGGTGGCTGTGAGAGAAAGTATTTTAAGTGTATAGGGTGGGTCTGAAGTACTGGGAGGGGTGGATACTTAGAACAGCTGGAGGTCACCCAGGTTAGACATCTGTTCTAGTGAATGTCAACCACACATATAACAATGTCCATCTCATTTCTCCTTTTTCGACTTTACACACTAAGCCTTTTTGAATCCTCTTCTCTCCATGTTCCTACACCCATCCTCAGGCCCCCACCCTCAGTTCAGGCCATCATCATTTCCAGTCTGGATCCCTGCCATGGCCTGGTCCCAGAAGGAGGAATCTTACTCAAACTCTGTCCTGGTTAAATACTACAAAAGTCTGACACTCCATGCAAGTCTCACACAGTGTGAGTCCCCTGCTTCACTTCTATCAGCCCACCCTGTCCCTCCAATACGCGTTTAGAAAAAGGCCTGGTCTGTGGTGAGCCCGGACTTCTTATTATGTGTGCTCCCATTATCCTCTCTGCTTGTGGTTGCATTTGCCGCGACCATGGCTGATTTGACTACTCTCCACTAGACCAAGCAGCAAATGTTGCATTCATGCGGAATCTTTAGGGCCAAACACTGGCCTCAGGACTCTCTCGTGTTCTTGGAAAATAAACGGATCCGTGGGGGGAGGGAAGGAACCCTGAAAACTCATGGGGAAGGTCTACCATTTAATAATTAAGCTCTGAGCCAGAGGGTGTAGAACAGCAGCTTGGATCTCAGCCTGCCACCTAGCCGCTGTGAACCCACTTTCTGCCTGACAACCTCGGGTCAGCACACACTGTGTCCTCGTGCCAGGGAAAAGTTCCTGAGAGGAGTCACCGCGGGGCTTCGGGAGGTAGCATCTTGGCTCAGGACGCCCGTTCTGACACTGCTCGGTCATCCCACTTTCTCTGCCGCAGTTCGGGGACCCGGTAAGATCTGAAATCCCATCCTGGAACTTCTCTCTCCGCTCCCTTCACAACTGTCCCTCACCTGGAACCCTCTGGGGCCGGGACCTCAGCCTCTGCCAATGGCCGCGTCTTCCATTTTCTTAGCTACATCCGTCTCCCAGAACCGCTCCTTCAACCATGATGCTGGCAGCTGGGCGCCCTTCTCAGGCCTCCGACTACAGAAACCACTGTGGCTGCAGCTTCCCGGGCGCTTCTGGATTTAGAGCTCAGAGAGCAGCCGCTGTCCCTCGGCCACCGTAGAGCGCCGCCCCACGTGCCGCTTCCTCTTCTGCCACGGGGTCTGTCCAGAGAGGCTTCTCACGTGCTGCTTTGCGCCCTCTCGCTACACTGCCACCTAGCGGCTCCTGCATGAAATGCACCTAGGCCCTGCTGCTTTAAAAAAAAATTCTCTTTTTGGTGGGTTTCTCAAAATGACAATGAAGTGCCGCACTTTCTCTATCTCAAGGACAGAAATAAATAAATAACAGCAATGAAAAAAATCAATATTTTTTGAATAAAGAGCATTAGAAACCAAAATCAACCTGCCAAAGGGAAAAAAAAGACTGTTACATCACTAAATCTCTTACTGAAAATTCTAAGACTAAATTCTTTAATGCCTAATTCAGTCAAAACACATTCAAACTCAGAAACTCAGGCAAATTACCTACCAGTTTCTCAAAATACATGTCTGCCCCCACCCAAATCAAACAAAAGGTCAGCCTTCTATGATTTATAGAGAGGCACTTAAAGAAATGAAGAGCCTCTGTGATGTTATGACCAAAGACACATTCTAGAGCCAAACCCCTGGCAGGGCACACAAACAGCCAACTCGGAGGGCTTAGCTCACCTTTGGAGCCACACAGGGCCATGGTGAGGGCGCTGTTGCTCTGGTCCAGCTCTCAGAGGCAGGCACTGCCAGGGAGGTTATGCATCACTGACTGCTCCTTTATGATCATGGCCTGGGGGGAGGGACAGAGGAGGGGAGAACATGTAGTCTGTGGGGAGCCAGGCTCTGACTCTGCAGATCACAATCCTTCAATTCTACATTCATAGAAAATTCGAGAACATTTCATCAGGATGTCAGATTTCCAATCAGTGAAGTTTCCTGAGCTAAGACAATCAAAAATCCCCAGCTGCACAAAGTCCTTTCTTCTCTTATCCTTAGTTCTGAGACTGCAACTCTATCCATTAGTCTCTTTTCTGCTCTCTCTTCAAGCTGACTGTGGGTTGGGGCACAGTCCTCTGAACCACCTTTCCCCTAACCCCATGCAGTACATAGTCACTCCTAGAGTACACACACAGCTGGTGATAAATAGGCTGAGAATGGCATGAACTAGGTTACCAGCCAATTCTTCAGCCCTATTTTTGAGCCTCTTAATAGGAACATAATGGTTGTAGCATCTTAAGCATTCTGTGTTGAATGTAGGTGGTTGTACGGGGCACCTAGGGGTATCCAGAGCTGCCATCCATATCAATGAGCAGAGTCAGAAGGAGACATTCAAGCTTCTAGTAAAGGTGACAACCTGCAGGCAGTCATGGCCACCAATGGTGTAAAAGGCAACCAGATCACATCCAGTAACACCTATGAGGTACCATTGCATCTGGACCCTCAGCCAATACCCAGCAGTTTCCTGAACCTGGGATTTGCTTCCCCAACAATTACACAACAATCTCCTTTGATAATAGAGCAGTGTTTGCTTTGTGCTTGTCAAAAGGGAAGAAGTAGGAGTAAGGTAGCTCCCAGAAGGGACTGCCTCCACTCACTCGTAGCTCTCCCTAGGTGGAGAAAACTCTGGGCATTGAAGGCTGCCCAGACAACCATAATCAACAAGATCCAGCCCAAGATGTCAACAATGGCATGAGCATCGACTTGAGGCTCATGATGCTGCTCTCCAACCTGATGACCTACAAGGTGTGAGAGAAAGGATGCTCCAGGTTGTCAGGGGCTGTGAAACCCACTGTCTGTCAAACAACCAGAGAGTTTATACAGCATAGAAAGCACACTTCTGTGAGGACTGACCTGGACAGGAAGTAGGTGTCACCACCAAAGGCCATTTGTGCTAATGGGATCGGGTGTTTCAGTAAATTCTCCATGTAAGAATTTCAAGACAACCAATCATTGGAGGTGAAAAGCTTGAATATGGCTTTTGTCCATGTCCTGAGTCTTATTCTACAGCCAAACTGACAATTAACAACACTAGGATGCCCAGGGAACTTGGGTGATGGTTCCCTAACCCCTTCCTAGTGCTGCTTCTGTAGCCATTTCCAGAGAGTAGGGCTACAGGCTCGGTGGTATAGTGCCTGCCTAGCATGCATGAGACCTGTGATTGATCTCCAGCACACACACACACACACACACACACACACACACACACACACACACAATGTAAATCACCTTGTTCTCAGGTGGGAGTACAAGGGGAAGTTGCTATGCTTGCTTGCTTCCTCTCTATACAGTAGTGCATTGTGTTTCCATGACCCTTTCCTGATAAGCCTGTCCTGCAGTAGAAGACATTATAGAACAAGAGATGTAGCTCAGATATAGAACAAGGTCAAGGTAAATATCCCTGAGACCCTGGACTCAATTCAGCACCAAAGAATAAACTACACCAGGTGGGGCCATGCCAGCCCTGAAGGAGAGGGTGTCTGGAAGTATGTCTACTTCTGCTTTGAATTTTTTTAAAGGTTATGGTATTTCACTGGATCTGCAATACAAGTTTATATCTATTTGTTGTATGTACATGTAGGTGCATAATCCTGTGGATGCCCCTCTGTTTATGTGGAGGTCAGAGGTCAACCTTGGGCCCTCTTCCTCATGACCCATTGATTTTGTTTACTCAAATGCATTTATTAGCAAATATTAATTATGCATAATGTAGTTGGAGTTTTTTCCAGTCCCACCCTGCCTGCAGCCACTCAGACACAAGTAAACACACAGAGACTTATATTACTTCTAAAGTGTATGGCTGTGGCAGGTTTCTTGCCATCAAGTTCTTACATCTTAAATTAACCTATTTCTATTAATCTAAATTGCCATATGATTTATGGCTTACCAGTACTTTACTGCTGTGGGTGATTGATTGATATGTAAAACACTGATTGGCCAGTAGCCAGGCAGGAAGTATAGGTGGGACTAGCAGAGAAGAGAATTGGAAGAACAGGAAGGCAGAGAGGGGTAGATACCAGCTTGCCATCCATGGAGCCTCATGTAGAGGCTGCAGGTAAAGCCACTGAACATGTGGCGACATATAGATTAAGAGAAATGGGCTTAGTATAAGAGTAAGAGCTAGACAATGGTAGGCCTCAGCTAATGGCCGAGCAGTTTAAATAATATAAGCATCTGTATGTTTATTTTATAAGTGGGCTAAGGGACTGCCTGGGCTTGTCAGGACCCAGAGAGAAAAACTCTAGCTACAAATGGCACACAATGGCTTGAGTTTCCACTTTAAACCTGAAAATATTTAATAAGCAATCCTAAATGGAGCCAAAACCAGGTTCCTGCTTCATGTCTCATACAGGTAGCTAGCCGCAACATGCAGGTTTGAGCTACTATGGCAGGTTCCTGGTGTGTGCATTTGACCAACAGTATGGAGGGATTGAGGCGTCAACAAGTGGCACATTGTGCTGCGTGGTGGATTTAGTCTTTCCTAGTACAAAAAAAA